TTAATAAATCACGGATCAAAAATTATTTTGGACTGAATTTGTACATGTCAAAATGAGCTAATATGTTATGATTATTGGATTAAAAAGTGGGTCATAATACAAACCGTCCAACTTTTACTAAGTTTCAATATCTTTCTTTGCTCTTTTATAAGATTATGAGTACGAGATAAACTTTTTTCCTTTATTATTACTATACACAACATATCAAACAAAAAAAATTGTCAAAGGATTCACGGGTCAATTGGATTACTTGATTGGTCAAAATAGACTAAATCAATTACCCACCCAAAATATAGCTAATTGGGTGGATCATGTCTTCATGAGCTAATTTTATCATATTTACTTGTAATTTAAAACAAAATATTATATATATATATATATATATATATATATATGGAGGTTTGGGAGTTGGGGGGGGGGGGGGGGGTGTACATGCTTTTAAGTCATTTCACTAACGATAACATGAGATTTTTAAAGTTCAATTAACCTTATGCATTTTATAAAGGAAGTGCATATAGTCTTTAAACATTTTTAATTATACATGGGGAAGGAAAAGGAATATGAGAAGTGGGATTAGAATGTTTTAATTATGAAATAAAATCCTCACTAATAAGATAAGAGTTTGTGACTTTGTGTAGTCAATCAAATGAAATAGTAAGATTTTTCAGTGATTTAAATACTAAATATGTATTTAATTTAGATACTATTACGTATTCATGAAGATATTAAGCTCCTGCTTAGTCATAGATTTTGAACCGAAAACTTAAAAATTTGAGTATTTGAATTGTAACTTTTTGAAATTTGAAGTTATGTTTGAATATGCATTTTTATACGAAAGATTAGTGGTTATGTAAGCCCAAAATTCAACACTCGGGTCGCGGCCCAAAATTCTTTTGTCTGGACTAGACCTTGCATCTTCTAATCGTTTGGCCCATTAACCCACTCACATTTCAATTAAGTTCCGACTCGCCGTCGCCGGTCATCGACCCTGAAGAGATAATGAAGTTCACTGACTCGCCGGTGATCGATCTTAAAGTCCTCGATTCTCAGCTTGCTTTCCATCAAGACAATGGATCCATGCATGTCGGCACCAGCGTATGGCCCTGTTCACTAGTCCTCGTCAAGTTCGCCGAACGGTGGCATCCTCAAACATGCGCCGTCACCCCAAATCCCTATTCCGACATCCTTAACTTTCAGAACAAGCGCGGCGTAGAGCTCGGAGCCGGCTGCGGAGTAGCAGCCATGGGGCTTTTCTTATTAGGTCTGAACAACGTCGTTATCACTGATATTGCTCCGGTTATGCCGGCCCTAAAACACAATCTTAAGCGAAACAAGCCTGTTTTGAAGAAGAGTTTGAAGACGGCACAGTTGAATTGGTCCAATCAGGATCAGATAAAATCTCTCGGCCCGCCGTTTGATGTCGTCATCGCCGCCGACGTGGTGTACTTGGAGGAGACGGTGGGTCCGTTGCTGTCGGCTATGGATGCTTTGGTGGGAGAAAACGGTGTCGTTTTGTTGGGGTACCAGCTGAGATCTCCTGAGGCGCATGAGAAGTTCTGGGAGCTTTGTGGAGAGATGTTTGATGTCGAGAAGGTTCCACACGAGCATTTACATCCAGAGTACGCCTATGAGGAGACTGACGTTTATATTTTCAGGAAGAAGAAGAAACTATAGGACCCTCCTTCAAATTTTGTAATCTAAACAGGTGATTATTGACAAGTTCCGATATGTGTGTTATTTTTCGTATTCTGCATTGACGTGAGATCTTTTGTGTTAATTAAGATGTTTAGTGATGTTGAAATTGTTGAGTATTGCGATGAAATGGTTGAGATGGAGTGAATTGATAATGAAGATTCATATAGTAGACATCAACTAGCTTGGAATTTGTTGTTGTTGAGGAATCGAACTTCGTACTAGATATGCATACTTCTAGTGATACGAAAGAGCAGTGTTCTCTCTATAAGAGTAACATATATTGTACAATCTTCCACAAGCTTTGAGGAGAATAATAATATTGGTTGAAGGATTTAAGCTTTTAGTCGATAAATAAGCAAATGAAGTGTCAGCTTCAACTTTCAAGTTTCAACTATTTTTCCTAAGAACTTCTTTACTGGATGGTGTTCTTGGCGCAAGAGCAATCACTTGTCCAGCTTAGAACACCAAAATAAACTGCTGCTACTACTATGCCTCATCCTGAGAAAGTTGGGATCGTTGTATGAATCCTTAATATCATAAATGCATGCTCTGCAACTTTCCATTGTAAACCATTTGCCCCTGTTAAGGATTGGCGGCAGAGTTGTTGCCCTAATACAATTAGATTTCTGTACAAGATCCCTTTCTTGCAACTGTAACTACTCCTATGGTACCTAATCCGGCAACTCCTTATTTCGTCATATCTGTTTTTCTTGTTTGGAATTGCATTGAAAATAACCTCCAACCGGTATGACTCCATCATATATATATCTGAGATTTTAGTTACTAGACCAGAAAATAAGAACCTTATTGATATTGTTTACTAAGAATGTGAGACTGAGAGAACTGTTATCGTGTCCTGTTTAGTTCTTCCTAGTTCCTTGTCTAATGTGGCCCTTCTAGCTGTAGATACGACTTACGAGACCAACCTGTGTTGCAGTCTCATTTTTATATAGGTGTTCTTTCTTACCAAAAAAAATAGCTACCTTCATTTGAGGGGTTAGTACCCCAACATGTATGTTCGAATCCAATAGATATATACATGTAGGATGGGAGGGTGGTTCTTAACGTCTTTAGTTACAGTTTGAGCTGAATTTATTTCAACTCTGCAATGTAAATTTGTGGTGTTATGCATTTTGTTCTCCTATTTTAAAAAAAAATTAAATTCTGATCATGAAGAGTAGGTATTGATTTTTTCCAAGTTGGGGATAGCCCGTAGTATCATGCCAGAGCTCCTTACAGTCACCTTAGGCTTGACAAGAACTAACTTGATGTCCATAAGGAGGTCTTGATTTCCTCGGTATAATTTTCTGGTCACCAGTTTAAAGTCGTTGTTCCTTTTACTGCTTTGGAGAGTACACCCTTTTCTTTAAAGATCCTCTATTGAGGATTCTTACACCACCATTTCAGTTTGAAAAGCATGGCTGCACCTTCACATTGAACTAGTACCTCTCTTGAACGGATCAAAAGAAGTAGTACCTCTCCTGAAGTAATACACTATGCCATTAGTAGTTTTCCTTTTGAATATCTTAAGGTTCCTTCCTTGTTGATAGGTTTCTCTAAAGCTTCTTTCTCCTTTAATATGAGAGGTTTCTCCCACGTGAATCTCTTAATTGTTAGTGATGTATCCTAATTCTCCACCCAAATAGTTGCGTCCAATCCATACAAAAAGGTACATGTGCCAGGGAAATTGCTTCGGAATCGCTCTACCTGCATGATGCATACATGTGCTCAACAAGGCAATTGACTGTTAACTTTTATTTGAGGTTCGCTCCTTTGCATCTTCTCCGTTTTTTCACTTTCAACTGGCTTTCCTACTCTCTGAATAGATCAGGGAAGTTCAGCTGAAGTTGCACTTGCTAATATATATCCCCACACATTTAGTGGTAGCAAATGGACAGGTTGAAAATGGGTCATACCCTAACCCACCCATATTCATGTGGATTGTGGATTAAAATGGGTTGGGTAAAGATGGGTTGACCCACATTATACATAAGTGAGAAACTCTTCTATTTTTAGTGAAAAATCAAATAAGAAAGAAGAACTATTTTGGTCAATAGGAAAACTTAGGAAAATGAATTCATGTCAAAAGCCATAGTAGATAATTTGGCTTGCTCAAGTGGTTGAGCAACTCCACCATCAGAACACTATTGATCCTTCTGGGGGTAGGTGGGGGGGAGAGAAGATAATTTGCTTTTGGAATTATATACAATTTAGAGTGAGGTTCAGTCTCTCTTCTTCTTTTTTTCTGTAATAAAAGCAAGCTTGCAGTTTTCTCACAGTGTCTTCGTTTGGAGATGCTTGCTTGCCTATATGAATGAATGTTAGTTTGCTTTTCTATGGGTTCTTCAGTTGGCATACCCTTCAGAACAAGGAGGTTTCTATATAGTCCATATACAGGCAATTTGATTTGGTCGTGCCACCGGTGCTGGCTGCTTTGAGACCTTGAGCGTCAAAGAACAATGGAACGGATTAATGAGAGAGACGTTGCAGACTGATATACATACAGTTAACTGAACTTTCTTATTGCGTACATGTAAAGAGAGTACAGATTCAATAAGTTTTAACATATAGTTGTGCAGCAGGTGAAACTTGCAATGCATTGTACTCCCTCCATCTAACAAGTCTGATATGCGTTGTTGCAGAAAGGATGGTCTATCTAGTGTCCGGCCAACTGCAGAACACCAGGCAGGAAGATCGTCTCACATCACTGCTGGCTTAGTGGCTTCACAATGAGAAGCTGTTTGCATGCATATATCATTATAGTCGAAGACCTATATATATATATATATATATATATGTATTCTGAGAGATGGCTATTCTGCTGCGACAATAATTGGATAGCTATGGTTATACCATGCTTAACGATATCTTGATGCCAAAGGATACCAAGTACAATCGTCAACTATGTAATATTTCACTCTTATGATGAAAATGCATGTCCCGGAGCTCAGTTTTATACACTATATCAACACAATTGTTCCTGAGTACTATTTTGGGCCTTCAGTTTACTATTTGCAATATCAGTGTACTTCAACTAGATTAGTACTTTATTTCACCAGTATAATAAATAGAAATAAAGATCAGTACTAGTAAAAAGAAAATAATGAACATGAGTTTATATATAGATATCTTTGTACAGTTGAACTTTGATTAATTAGTTACTCTCCCAGTCAAGAGCCATGTACACTTATTTCTTCAGCCTAGCTCACTGTACAAAGTAAATACCATTAATAATACATAAAATAACCACATCAAAAATATAAACATAAAAATCACAAGAGAACTCTTCTTTATTCTTCCTAGTCCTCCTGTCCATCTTACTCTTTGTTTCGATAACTTATTCAGTGTGACTGTTTCATCTAAAAAGAAAAGGTCAGGGAATAAATGAAGCGTCAGGGAGATTATTGAAGTTCGGAAGACGAGGAGTAGTAGTCATCGTCGGATTATTATGTTCAAAAGATATGAGAGTAGTTGGATTGAAATTACATTGAACAAATTGAGATCCAACTTGACCAATACTTGTTCTAACTTGAGGAAGAGGAGGACAATTATTTTTGATGCTATTGTTACCACCACCACATTGTCTTGGTTGAGTTTGATAAAATACTTTTGAGACAACAAGTTCACCTTCTTTTTCATCTTCATTATCACCAAGATGATATTGATGCATTACCCAATTTGTTTTCTCAGGTTTTCTTTGTTTACCATAATTTGTATAGAGAACAAGTATTTTCTTGTGGCCTTTCACTTTGTTTTTTAACACAACTGGCCTAGTTTTGCCTGTTTTGTGCCATCTTGTTTCATTGCCTTGTATATCTGTGTGTACTTTTCTTCTTTTTCTTGTCCCTGTTGTATATGCTTTTGATGGTCTATGAAAGAAATGTCTAACTAAGCCATCTTTTGTCACTCCTGCATGCACCATCCATCAATAATCAACAACGACAACAACAACATATCCTGTGTACATGATCTTATAATTGTGATCGACTGAGAAAGGTGGAATTTACGCAAACTTTATCCCTAGAGATATTGACGATAGACCCTCGTCGTCTCAAGAAAACCATTAATCAATAATAATCATAATCAATATTTAATTAAGTTATATACACATATAATATAATTTTTTTCGTATTATATAATATCAGTATAGTTTAACATGTGATAGTAAGGTAGTCACTTATCAATTTGAGTTATTATTCTTATATACATCATGAGATTAAGGAATTATTACACCATCAACATGTCACCTTTACATGTCGTACCAGATACCTTGACTTGTTTTTAAGATTGTCATTCTCATATTTAAAGAAGGCTTATATATAGATATTCTTTGAGTGATCTGATAATATAAATAATTGCTTATATAAATGATGTATACAAATTAAAAAATTTGTCAATTTTACCAAGTGACGAATTACTAATACTTATTCTAAAATAATATGTAATTACCTTTTAAATGACCCTGACTATGTATATATCTTTTTACTCCTTGATCACATTAAACTTAAACTCATTTGATAATCCAAGTAAGTGAAAGTGCATATCTTAAGGAAAACAAAACTTTATAATAACCTCGTGATAAAAAAACCATGCATGAAAAAATTATATTTGTCTGCTTATAGAAGATTTTGGACATCAAACTAAAAATCAATTCACAATAAATCAGTAGAAAGAAAAAAAAAACTCTCATTATTTGTCTGCTTATAGAAGATTTCATTCACAATAAGATAAATCAGCAGAAAGAAAAGAACTGAAAATTTGCACTTGTATATTCATAGTGAAACTATCTTATTAATTTGTTATCAACTCAAAATTTCTTGAATTAACTTTGTGATGTTGGATAACACTATCCATGTATTAACTTGTTTTAGTAGATAACTTGTCTTATTTTTTCGGTTATTATCCACTTATATAATAAAGAATTACATGCACATATTTATCTTTAATTTTAGACGATCTAATAGTATAAAAGCCAGTTTACGATTTTAGTATATAAAAGTTAAACTCATTCAGAATTATATGTTTTGTTCCATCTTACAAAACACTTGAATTAGCTACGAACTTTAATCCGTAACTAACATAATTTTTAATATCTTGTCGTCAATTTTGTTGTTTAGCTACAAAATTTGTCTGTCGTCAAATGAATTACCTGGTAACTTTTCTGGATGAGTATAGCAAATCCCATTTTCTCCCTCTAATGTTTGAATAAATTCATCAATTAGTGGATGAAGTTTGTGTGCATCCAACTTCACTTTTGCTTCAAGATGTTCAAGAATCTCTTGATCACTTGGATCAAACTTCACCCCAGCTGGTAATCCTGGAAGATTATGAATCCCAGCCTATAATTAAATTAATTTTTTTCACAAAAAATAATAGAAATCATTAATCATGTTATATATATAATATAATAAATAACCAAAATCAAACAATAAATTAAATTAAAAGAAAGAAAAAACTACTAACCTTTTCTTCATATTTGATCAAATGACCACAAGAAGGACAAGTCCTAATTATTTTTGTAACACTAGTAAGAGAGTCAATATTGATACAAGTCATTTCTTGATAATAATTAGAGAAAAATCCTTTTTTTTTGCCACTATTGTTGACTAAGTACTATTACAAAAATAACAAAATTTGTAGGAGAGACAAAGGGTTAAAAAGAAAAAAGAGGAAAAAGTAGCAACATCATGTTCTTCCCTCAACCTAATTGTTCATCAAAGTTGGGAAGGTATATTAATATTATTGAAATTCTACTTTTTGTATTCATCTTATAACACTTAAAGATTAAAATTAGATGTAAAAAGTTGAGTAATATAATTAGCTAGTATTAGTGGTACCAAAGATGGAAAAATAAAATTCAAAAAAGGAAGTGTTTGCTTGGGATTCACTTCTTCTTTTAGCTCATTTAAGTAAGGATGCTTCATGTGGAATAAATGTATATCTTTGTGAAGAAGAACCAAAAGGGTATATTTTAATTGATTATTTCATTGACAAGGAACATTTTAATAAAGACAGTTTACCATGTATTGGTAAAAAATAAATTTTAAAAAAGGAAGAACAAAAAAAAGGAGCAAAACTTAAACACTACTAAAAATTTACTCCCTCCGTCTCAATTTATATGAGTTAGTTTGATTTGGCACGGAGTTTAAAAAAGAAAGAAAATCTTTTGAAACTTCTGGTCTAAAATGAGTCACAAATATTTATGTGGCTAGAAATCATTTTATTAAGGGTAAAATGACATTTTGAAGTTGAATTGTTACTAAATATAGAAGGCACCAATATCATTCTTGTTGGGATGGGCTAAAAAAGAAAGTAAGTCATATAAATTGGGACAAGGAGAGTATTATTTTCCACAAAAATTTCCCACTTGAAAATATTCGGTGGCTATTTGCATAAATATTTTGATTGAATCGGTGAGAAAGAAAAATTAGTAATGTTTTTATGCGGAAAAATTAGAAAATATTCCACTATTTAAGTGAGAATTTGTTTTTCATCATGCATTTTTTCAGTGAGCTTGAATGTAAAAAATCATGTTTTATAGCATAAATTTCTCGTGGATTCGCCATAGAATTTTTTTTATGTTTATTGTGAAACTACTTGAGTGTAAATAAGGCAACCTAGTATTAGCTCCTTCACCCCCACCCCCCCACCCACACAGAGTTAGTTACAGCTCTAATGTCACCCTAGAGTGTACACAAAGACAAAACAATTTTGGTTAGAAAAGAAACAAAAATAAGAGGAACTTTAACATCCACCAATAATGACATTGCTTCACTTAAACTTCTCATGCAACGCAAGAGATAAAAGACGGAGTCAAAATTTAAATTTTATGAGTTCTAAATTTTAAAATAACGACTAGCGGTATCAAGTGTAGGTTAATTGAGTTTGAGTTTTAAAAAAAACTGTACATATCTAATGATCAATTTCTCAACATACAAAATATAATTTAGATTAAAGCTATTGCGTTCGATCAAATATGTAGGTGGTACATAAGTAACCTTTTAGCTCCGCACCTCCACAGAGAAAGCTTTACGGCAGAAGCAGAAGTGGATCTAGAGTGTGTTCTGATGGGTGCAGTTGAATTTATTATATTCATCTCGAGTTTTATACGTATAATATGATCACACTAACTAGCTAATTAGTTCGTCTCAAAAACACATTATTATTATTTTTTAAAATGGTTTCTCTACCAAACAAGCTTTTTAATATTTTTTTTGTGTTGAAACATTATTTTCATCACTGATAAATAATATATTAAGAGAAACTAATGTTCTGAATTTCCTATCTAGTCAAATATCCTTATATAAAACGAGACAAAAGGAATAATATTTCTGTTTTAGATTCTTAGTGATCAAATTGTATGATATTTCGAACTAGGATAATGGTAGTTTAACCTTATCTTATATATTTCATTCAAAAGTTTTATAAAGAGTTTTGCATTTTCTGGTTGCTGAATTTACTATCCAAATTTGTCAAATCTAAAGTTGTTGGCTTTGTACCAAACGGTCACAATAATTGTCATATCATTTGTGTAGATTATAATAACATTTTACTATAACAACGCTAAGTACATTTCGGAATCGATTTTTTCATGGTATGTAATGTTATGTGTTTTATATAATAGCATGTCATTATAGCAGTCAAAAAATATCTAGATAAATAACGTTATTATATAAAGATTTAAGTGTATAAAAATTAAAGATATCGATCTATGATCGAACCACCGATTTCCTTTTCTTTTTTTTTCTTGTAGTTATGGAAAACATAGATTCTTAAAGTGTTCCTCAACACTTGAACTATTATTCAGAACCAAACTTTTGTAATCTTGAAGATTTTGGACATGTGATAATTATGAACAATAATAAGTCTCCACTTATAGCTTCATCAGTCATCACACAATAAGCCAAAAAGAAGTACAAATAAAAATAAAATAAAACCTAAAAAGTCTTCAAGTGAATCTCCAACCCCACCCCACCCCACCTAAAATGAGATTAGGGGAGAAGTCACAATAAAAGTTACGAGTTTGACAGAATTAAATAATTTCAAATTAAATTATATATTTATAGTAAAATCCCATAGTATATATATAATAATTTATTCTGAAAAAAATTATAATTCAAAATTCATAAATTAAAAATGTTAAATCCGCCTACGGACTCAAAAAGAGAGAAGAGAGGGAAAAGTAGCAATTAAGTAGTGATGAATGATTATCTTAAAGGGTTGATGGTGATTTGCAAGAAAGTTTAATTAATAATCAACTTTTAAGCAAGCATGATTACTTAATTATTTTTCATAATCTATTTTTCTTTTTGAACACGAGCTAGTTTTTTATAGCCTGTTATGATAAACTGCGAACCTATGTATTTATTTATTTCATATTTAGACATTTTATCAAAATTTTAATATCAATTTAAACCTTTGTTATTGTAAAACTAAAATATTTACCAACAAATTGATGGCCTAAATATAAAATTCAATAAAAAGACCTTAAAACTCACTCGATGAAATTCATATGTATTCTTTTAGTTTATTACTCATTTATAAAATCGCTTCAACCTTTTGATGTGCAAAATGAAACTGTTTAAAATCATATTATTATTTTTACAGTTCTTATATATTTTAATTTATAGGCCAATAAATTATGCATTATAGCAAATTATTAATTCAAAATAAATGATATAGATACAGTTTAATTTAATTCTGATTCGCATCAAACTTCTTGCTATTCGTCTCTCTTCCCTCTCTCTGGTATCTCGCTCGTCACTCTCCTCTTTTTAGCCTTCTCGCTCGCCTCTCCCACTTTATACAAACACAAATGTGTAATTTGTGTTTGTATAAAGTGAGAGAGACTGTATATACAAATATAAATGCATATCTCTCCGTCCTATACACTTATAATTAGACAAATACAAATATTTCTTTGTCCAGTTCTTTTTTGCCTTTCTATCTCCCTCGCTTTATACAAACACAAATTATACAAAATACAACGTATAAATTGTGTTTGTATAAAGCGAGAGAGAGATTTCATATACAAATACAAATGTTTTAACTCGATTCAATTATATACGAATTTAAATTTTATGCAGATATATAAACACAATCATTGATACATATACATAGTAGTTACATATATACAATTATCTAACCGATATACATATACAATTCACTTCTCTCCACTCTCTCGCTCGCCTCTCTCCTCTCTCTCAATCTCGCTCGCCACTCTAGCCTAACACAAAGAACATATACACACACAAACGCAATTTTCATACCATCACCGCAATTTTTATACAAATCGCCGCAATTTATACAAATCAGATACTCTATAGCAAATATAATTTGGGTATGGAGCACAAATAACAAAACTATAGCTATAGAGCGCTAATATGATTTTTGTGTTTGTTATTCCTAAAATTTACTCTTCTTATAATATATAACTTTCATGTGAAGTGAACTGAAAGCTAAGCTTCAAGTAACTTGTACAGCCAAAAATGAATTGGGCCGTAACCTACAATTTATTTGGGCCAAAGGAATAGTAAATTTGCAAAAATAGGATATTATATGCGTGAACTTGAACTTTTGACCCTTACTTACCAATATCGAGTTAGCCATTGTCCCTTATCTATGGAAGTACTGAGTACGTCTATTTCGATTCCTTAAATATAATTTTGAGCATCGTTAGTCTTTTGCAATTGCTTAAGTGCAGCACATTTGATCCAACTAATAGAATTTGTTTTAATAAAATCAACAAAATTATACAAAGATATTTTATACATTTCACTATATACAACTTAAATTCTGTCATTATAAACTTTATGGTCCCTCAATATTGCAATCCATGAATATCAAGTCACATAGTTGGAAGAAAATGAAGTTATTTTCAATGTGTTTCTCAGTTCCCACTAGCTCAGGGCAAAATTCAAACCAAAAATTCCTTTCAGCCAATGATATTAACTTATTTAAACTACTCATGCTGCCTCAATAAATAATCGTGTGTTCCTATTTTAATAATTGAACATCACCACTCACTGTCACCAATTCTAAATATCTTTGAATTCTTCTTCTCAAAACACAATTTAGTCAAACCACATAAGTCCACATAATCAATCAATGTCATTGAAAAACTGGTGCTTTGTCTGTATATTTACTTCTAAAGGCCCCAGCTCAGTGAATGATGGACAGCAAAGTAGGACCTAAGTTTAACAAACTTAATCAAAGGCATTAGTTAAGAATACTTACAACTTTCAGTACCCCATCTGTGTTGCGGTAGGCTGACAGCTAGCGTAAAATTTGTTAATTCATGATGAATCCTCGTAATATAGATTCATAAAGGGTTGTAGAATTCAAAGAGTACAATATGCTTAATTCTTGAAAAAGACTACTAATTTTTCATTATGCAGCTTCTTCCTTGCCAATTCTTGACAAGAAACACTCCTGCTTCTATTACTTGATCTAATATATTAACTAGACTGACTTTGGAAAGTGAGGGGAAAGTTTACCATTCTTGTTTTCCATTTCTGGCACATTATAAGGAACTGACTCTTGGATCATTTTCACCACTCTGTGCATTGAGGGGCGATTAGCTGGAGTTTGGTTAAGACAACGTAGACCAACATCAAGAACCTTGCATATATGTTCTTTGAAGCTGGAGTTTAGATTTGGGTCGAGCAACTGATCAACTCCTTTCTCGTTCAACGTCGTGTGTACCCAAGTAGCTAGATCTTTCTCCCCGAATTCTGGACTGACTGGTCTTTTGCCTGTCACCAGCTCCAAAATGACCACTCCAAAGCTATATATGTCACTTTTTTCATTCACATGAAGAGTATATGCATACTCTGCAATCAATGAATTTCACTAATGTTAGTTTTGGCTACTTTAAAATGAAATTGCAATCTTTCTGAAAATATAAGCTAGATATGCCAATATATCGGTAAAAATGACTAAAGCCAGTGATATAGTTTTGAACAAATCAATACCTGGTGCAATGTAACCACAGGAACCAGCAATTACAGACATGGATTCAACGTCACCTTTGCTGCCTGCTTTAACAATTTTTGCCACACCAAAATCTGAAATTTTGGCTCCAAACTCATCATCCAGCAATATGTTGTTTGACTTAACATCACGGTGAACAATTGGAGGAACACAACCATGGTGCAAATAAGAGAGCCCCTCAGCAGCATCTAAAGCTATCTTGAACCTCAATGGCCAATCCAACAATTTGGCCTTGCAACTGTGAAGAAAATCGCCCAAACTTCCATTTGGCATGTACTCATATACCAAGAGCTTGCTATCCCCGGTATCGCAACAGCACCACAATCTCACAATATTCTTGTGCCTAATTTTACCCAGAGTTTCAACTTCAATTTCAAACTCGTCTTTATCAGACTCAAGAGCACCATAAGGGGTTTCATCTTTAACTGTTCTCTCCCATAGCTTCTTGACAGCTACTGCCTCACCATTGCTTAGGACAGCTTTATACACTCTTCCTGAAGCTCCATTGCCAATTACATTAGCTTCATCTAGGCCAACGGGTATTTCAAATTCACTAAATCCAAGCTTATGGAATGATGTCCACTTTGTCATAGTGTTTCCTTTCTTAATCTTCTTGAATTTCTGATACTTCCAAATGAACATAGCAATCCCGACAAGGAAAACGAAGCCAGCAACTGTGTAGATAGCTCTCAAAGTCCATAAGTATCCTTCATGCTGTCCTCTACCTTTGGTAGGACAAAGACCAGCAACACCTTGACACAAACCTGGATTACCTCGAAAGCTGTCTCTATAAACACCCTTATCAAAAACTGCAGGAATCATCCCTGACAGCTGATTATTAGACAAATTTAGCTTATTAAGCTTCAAGCTTTGCAGACTGAGTGGGATTTCCCCTGAGAAGTAATTCCCAGAAAGATCAAGATAATTAAGCACTGGCAAAGTCCCAATTTCCTCCGGAATTTCCCCAGAAAATCCATTGTTTGCCAAGTCAAGCTCACTGAGTTGCTTCATTGTGTGAATTCCGAAGGGGATTTTCCCTGATAGCTCATTGAAACTAAGATCAAGGGTTCCTAACTGCCCTAGCTGCACTAATGTGTCTGGAAGTTCTCCCGTTAGCTCATTATGACTCGCGGAAAACTCAACCAAGTTCTTCAACTTTCCTACTTCACTAGGTATAACCCCTGAGAATTTGTTTCTTGATATTTGTAGGTTAGACAAATTTTTGGCACCAGAAATCATGTGTGATATATTTCCTGAAAATGCATTGCCAAAAAGGTCTAAGAGATAAACCTGAGGCAAACTCCAAAACTCAGTTGGGACTTCCCCGAATAGCTTATTAGCCCGAAACCTGACCCTAAGTAAACTCCGGCAGTTGCCAAGACTAGCCGGAATACTCCCAGAGAACGAATTATATATCACTATAAGATCCTCTAAAGCTCCCATCTCACACAAACTTTCAGGAATTTTACCAGAAAATGTATTGTATGAAACATCAAGATACTGTAAAGCCGAGTTCTTCCCCAGTTCACTAGGCAATGAACCAGAAAATCTGTTAGAGAATAACTTAAGCTCGTACAGATTCGGAGAGTTAGCTATACTTTCTGGAAGAAACCCCTCAAATTGATTCTCAAATAAATTGAGTGACTCAAGTGGCAACTCACACAACTCATCAGGAATAGTCCCATTTAACTTGTTAGTCGACACATCGAATCTTCTCAACCTGGTCAAGTTAGACCATCCCGAAGGCAATTCTCCGGTGAGGGAATTATTGTAGAGCTCAATTTGAACAATACTATTAAGCTGTAAAATTGCACTTGGTATTGACCCAACCAGTCCATTATTGGACACATCAAAATTAGTCAATCGACTCAATTTCTCAATACTCTTTGGAATTGAACCAACAAGATTACACATGCTTAGCCATAATATCTCAAGATTCGTCAAGTTACCGAGTTCAGGAGGAAACTGACTCGGCGAAAAAGGGTTGTAAGCAAGTTCAAGTGTCTTGAGACTCGTTACATTACCTAATGCAGGAGGAACTTCACCAGTAAGAATGTTCTCAGTCAGAATAAGAGTCTCCAGTTGCCTGAATCTTCCGAAACTTGCCGGAATATTCCCCGAAAAATAGCATCCACTAAGATCAAGGTACCTGCAATAGAAGATCATAATATACTAATGAAACAACTAGAATAACAAAATCTGCAATAAAAGATCATAATATTCATTTCGTTCCATCTGCATTTTTATTCAAACAATCAATAGTAATTTAGAGTTACTATAACACCAACAAGCAAATCCATACGGGTTATGTTGGTTCAGCTAAATCATTGCTTACAGCCCCTTCCCGCAGCTTGCTAACGCGAGATGTTTTGTGCACTGGACTGTCTTTTTCTACACATACCCATGTTATATACACTAACTATAGATCTTATATTCACCTTAAAACAGACCCAACTACGTATATATGGCTAAATGTAAGTCCCAATTAGTTGATATTTTTCGAAAAATTGAAAGAAAAAAAACAGGGGAAATGCAAAATTGAGGTTCAAACTGAGTTACCTGAGGTAAGGAAGATCGGAAATAGTGTCGGGGATAGTTCCACCGATGAGATTCTGAGAAAGGTCAAGGTACGTGAGGCTACGGCATTCAGAAATAGAAAATGGAAGAGTAGAATTGATAAGATTATTCGAAAGCGAGAGTGACGAAAGCGAAGTAAGATGGCAGAGGAAAACCGGAAAGGGTCCGGCAAGAGAAGCACCGGAGAGGTTAACAGCGACGACGGAGGGAGAATCTCCGGCGTCATTACAGGTGACACCTGTCCAGTTACATGGGGTAGGATCATTTTCATACCAAGTAGAAAATACCCCTTGATCTGAGCTTGACAAAGAGTGTTTCAGTTTTTGTAGATACAACCCATCTTGATTTAAAGCAAAAATCAAAGGGAATGTACTCAGAAAGAAGAGTAATAGTTTCATTTGCATGGTTTTTCATGCACAGGAAGAAGATACAGAGATTTTTCTGTATTAATGGTGAAATGGGTGTTTGCTGAGCTTGTTAAAATGGTGTAAGCTTTGAAGGATGAAAAATGGCGAGAAAAAAATGGTGTTATGTGGGACGATGAGGGTCGGTTTAATGTGGACAAATAGTCCAACTTGTCTATTTGTGATGTGATATCATCTTCATTATTTGACTGGGATAAGTGTTTTCCCGCTATTATCGGTGACAGCTCTAGTCGTATTAGTCTGACTTCAAAATGGATATTTTTTGAACATTATATGTCAAAAGGATCTTCTCTAAAATATAGATCAAAATGGATAATTCGCCCTTCTGATCGAGATTTCTTGTGTCTAGGAGAATTCCTTTTGATATGTGATGCTTAAAAAGTGTCGTTTCGAGCTAGACTCACGTAACAGTCAGAAGCGGACCAGACCCACAGTTATATATAGGATTGTGCGTGCACTTTGATCTCATGAGTGATTCATTTAGTATTAATTAACAGTACACTCATGAGGAGTATAAGAGTGTCCTCATGCTATAGCTACAAGCTGGAGGAATCAATCATGAGACCAAGGTTTAAATTCAGCTGGAGTTCTATTTCTTTATTTTTATTTTAAGTTTATTGATGCACTCGAAGTAGAATAGTATTTTTGTGCTTAGTATCCATAAGTTTTTACCCTATAAGTAACTAAAACTTTGTGCTTAGTATCCATAAGTTTGTGCTTAGTACTCATATAGAGAGGCGGAGTTAATGGAGGGAAACTGATTCATCTAAACTTCTCTTTTCAAAAAATTAGGATATCTACATATATGCAAATCTCTCCAACTTTTTGGTAGGTATATTTTGAATTTTCTTAATAAAAGTATTGACTTCGTCACTATTATATGGTCAAAATAAAAAGGGAAAAAAATCTGAAATATATCTGAACTTTGATCAAAATTTTTGTAATAATCTCAAACTTTGGGCAGAATCTATTACCCATACTATTTAATAGTATATTTTAAAGATAAATAAATATCTAACTGAACAAGTTACTATTTATAATGATGCAATATTTATGATGTTCACGTGAGCACATATATATCTTTAAAATACACTATTAAACAATGCAGGGGCAATAGGTCATGCCCAAAGTTTGTAATTATTACAACAATTCGGTCAAAGTTCGAATATATTCGAATCCTTTTCCCAAACAAAAATAAGTGAATAATAGTAAGAGATATAGACCGTTACGAATATTATTTTGAAACTTGAAAGGGATATTTTGAAAATTACAGAAGTTATTAGGCATATAGTTGATTTGGACTTGGTGATTATTAATTAAAGAAAAAGGACTTATAATAAGCTTTTGTGTTTTTTACTAAATAAGCAAGAAAACAAGTTACAATTTGGTCAAATAAACTTTATAAATTTATACCCAATACCTCTTGGCTCTTACAAATGATATTGACTCAACTTAAGAATATTTAGAAAAAAGCAAAATTCCTTTATTTCGCAAATGGAATTAGATGACATAAGATTCAGTTTCTTTTGGCTTTGGGAATGGGAAGAAATGGAAACATTGTTTTTCCCTATGTCAAAATGAAACATCTCGTTTTTATATAAAGATCAGGAAAATAAAATGAAAGTAGCAAAAATATGGTTAGTGACTTGAGGGGTATGTTTGATTAGGAACAAGTTATCTCGAAGTAAATTATTTCAGTATGTATATAAGATAATGCATTCCATCATCATGGTATAAATGAGGAGATAGATATAGTCCAAGAACTGATTTAATACATTTAATCAAATGCAAAATAAATCAATCATGTATTTTATTGCAAAATTACCATATTTTATATCTCACACCAAACGATGGATATAAGAGCATTAAAATGAGCATGTAAGTGTAGTCAAATTTATAGGAAAATAAAGCACAGTATTGTTAGAAGAAATTTGGTGTATATGTGGGGACTCTTTGAACAAAAAAAAGTGAACTTTGAAATTTCAAAAGGAGAGCAGTCTTCCACAAAGACTCATTAGTTTACTTATGTTTTCCCCATTTGTAGTAAATTTACCAATAATAATTAAACAATATATCTACATTTATTTTTTCAAAAGCAGTCAATTTTAACACAAAGTCCCAAAAATATTTGGTAAACTGTCAGAGTTTAGGGTTTTCCTTACATACACGTGTCTTTTAACCTGGCTCATTTAATAAATATAAGTAGACATTTAAACTTGTATAATATTAAACGAATAGATATACGTGTCTTGTATAAGCTGAGTGAATTTTTAAACGACCTTCCATGTTCGTATTACTCAAAAGTCGAATAAATTTGGTAGAGAGGCTGCTAAATTAATTTGAATTTTGAGGTAAAAAAATAAGTTAAAATTGAAAATCGAAGTAATGAAAGACTAAAACCAAACAATATTAATAATTTGAGTCTTGTCACACATGGTCCAGTTTGATAATCCAATTGTTTGGGGATCAGAATATGGACCATATATTAATATGAAAAAAAGTTTATGACTCTCTATCAAAACAAAGCTGCTATATATATGTACTGACTGTTTTTTTTTTTAAATTTATAAGCGTGCAAATATATATTAGGTCAAAGATTCCAAGATAGTGAATTTGTGACTCACTCCGCAGTGGAACAAAGAATATTCAGAACTATAGGTTGCTCGAATTCTTCAAACATATTGACAGGTGAATTGAATATCGAAGGTAGGTATTATTATATTTTTATAAAGTTCGAGCAATATTTATAGCCAATTGGGATTATGGGCACCACACAAACTCGAGGAGTCAGTCCATGACATTTTCCTAACTAAAACGCTAGACTATATATAGATACATGTGTCTATGCACGGAGCTAATTAATGTATATGTATAATGTATTGCATGTTTACTATTGAACTTATGGGTTCGACAGAATTCAATAGCTTTAGTTCAAACGTTCTGTTTGAAATAAAAATTAGGAGTATTATAAATAAATATTTTTTTTATAATTCAATACGCGATGGTTCCAAAAATCTTAAACTTATAAATCTTCGATTGTGCCTTCGGAAGTGAAAAATAATTGGCGGAGACAAAAAGTTCCAAGTACTAGTTCGTATGTGTTAGAGATCTGTGTAAAAATCAATATTACTGATTCAACAAACTTTGCAGAAACACGAAGTTACCAAAGTTTATTCGAACCAGTGAAGAAACAGATGAACAAAAATTAATTCAAAAGAAAACTAAAATCTGTAAAACATACCAGAATCTGAAAAAGCAGAACGGAAAAGATCAAGCCCACTGATTGCACAGTGTCCCCGTAAGGAAATTATTCCCCTCCAGTATCCGAGGTTTGATTTGGAATATGTCCTCCCAGGATAGAATGATCTCAATCACCAGTGTATTGATACCCAAAACGCTGGTGTCAGCGAACCACTCAACAACAATAAAGTACACGAAGAAATTTGTGCAGAAGAAGAAGAAATCAAAAATTTTCGTAAGTAAAAAATCTAAAGAATAACATGTATTTATAGGCAAGAGGAATTGGTTCCGAAAGGTTGCAGCGGCGGAAAATTTAAATAAAACGGGAAATTAATTTAAATAAACGGATCACGCGGATCCGAGTCGGGTCGGAACGTGTCGGTTAATTAACTAATTAATTGAAATGTTTTGGCCATTTAATTTTATTTAATTAAATAAATAATCAAAACAAACTTTGTCCAAAAAAAATATCTCGATCGATCATTAGCCAAACCCAAACCCAAAGCCGAGCGACGACGACAGCGCGATGGGGTCCCTCTTTCAAACCCTTTTAACAATTAATAGAAGTGTTTCTCTATTTAAACTCTTCTAGTTTTCTTCCCACCACCGATGAGGGACAAATTCCTTTTTACTAAAGCATAAAAGGACTTTTCAAGTTCCTCTCTTTTCATCTTCCATCCATTTCCCATTAACTCTTGCTATATACCAACAATATGAATTCTAACATAATTGTAAAACCTTACCTTCAATTATTTATAAATTCTTTTCTTTGTACAAATATTTATAGGTAAAAAGGTTATCATAAATTATCTAAATTTCGATGCTTATTTCTTTTCTTTAAAAAAAAAAAACTCCCTCTATTATTGATAGACAAAGTACACTCCCTCTATATGTGTATTTATATTTAAGATAATATTAGGGTATAAATTATGTATATACAAGTTACCCAAAAAAAGATACTCCTTATGTCAAACTTATGTAGCATAGTTTGAATTTCGAGAGTTCAACAATCTAATTTTATTCGTGAATTTGAAAATGAAATCTTTAAGTTTTTTAAAAATAAAATTTACATACTTAAAAACTATGTACAAAATATCATAAGACAAAATAATTGATAATTCAAGATATGAAAAAATTTACCGTCAAAAGAAAAACTTATTTAAATCTCAAAATTTAAAAGGTGTCACAAGCGCGCATAAAATCATTGTGCAACAATCATTGACGCTCCTTTTTATTGACAAAACACACTATATTATAGTCTATTCTCGACCAAAACACTAATTAAATTTGTACCAAATTCAACACATATATACTGTGGGATTGAGGTTAGGTGCTCACTTTACATATATAGACAGCTGAAATATTTGATTTTTGTGGCTGTTTAAACTTATGTTATTTCAAAGTTCAACTCTCTGCCCTCATGCGATGATGACTATTGTCAAATTAAATATAAACGGAATCCATAGTTAATTTCTGTTTGCTGATAATGTAAATTAAACGGAAAAGGGTCAAATTAAAATAACCCTCAACGTATTGAAAATGACTCATAAATGCGTTCAGTTATGAAACTGTAACCTTAGAGTTAGAAGTAGAGAGTATTTACCATCCGAACAACCCTTTCTCGTCGCAAGGAATCAAAATTTTTACTTAAAAAGTGCCATGAAGAAGAAGAAGTAGAGGAGGAGCAGGCAATGTCTTATCTTTAAACTTGTCAACAGTGGCTACAAGTTAAATATTTTGAAAAAATTGATACTATA